TTGTTGCTGAGAGAGGATGTGCCCTTTTTTAGAGATGAGAGCTTAATATATAATTATTTTCATTACAAAGATTCTTGAGTTTGGAGCAAACTGTTATTTCTGCAGTGTTTTTATATGTAGCTATTTACTGGAGATCAGTGAATTAATGCATTATCTTGGGAAGCACTGTGACATTGCTGGGACTATGATTCAAAAAGAAAAAGATTGGTAGTATGTCCATGAGACATCTAAACTGCTCACCTATCCTCATCCTCCACCTGAGAATTAATGTAATAACATCATATGATACACAAAAGTGTTGCCGCATATAAAATAAAGAAATATTAGGGTTCAGCAAAAAGCTGGGACCCAGGAGAATCCTGGATTGAGATTTTATCCAAACAATTTATTCATCATAAGATCTCAAGGAAATCTCAGGGCTTTCTGATGTTTCAGTCAATCTATGTGAAAAACTCCACTCTCAGCATCAAGCTACCATTCTATAAGGAAGGCCTTTCCATTTCCATTTTAAAAAAAATCAATCAAAACTAGTACTAAAGGTATATATTCATGATAGCTATGTGCAATTTCTCTGACCAAATAGCGACATATTGTGTGTACTGGCAAGTGTTACACACATTACTATAGAATTTACACCAGCTTGATGAAGTGCAGTGCAAAGTCTTTCTCAATTTTGCATGTCAAGGGCTGCTATGGAAATTAATGCAGCCCTAGGGGCAGCAGCAAGGAAAAATATTGCCATTTTATGTGCCAAATCTTATGAGAGATTTTAAAAATCACCTCAGTAAGTAAGTTCTGCTCTTTGCTAAGAAGTCAACCATTTTTATTGAATTTAGTCATGTTCATGGAAAATAGCTTGGCTTAATCATTTCAATAATACATGCTTTGTACACTGGCAAATATGTGGCTCGAGAGAGAGGTACTAGGCGGCTTTATCTTTTTGTCATTTTTAGCATAAAATAAGAAAAAATCTCAGGTATTTAGTATGTTCCAGCTCAAGCTTGCCACGTACCAACTGCCCAAAGTTTGTGTGCTCAACATCTTGTAAGACTGAGCACTTCATGAAAGTCATTAGACTTTTTGTAATGCCCAGCACGTGCATGTTTGCTGAAAAGCTTAATTTTGAGTTGGCCTTAAAAATTAACAAACTTTACCACACTGTTTTGTATGATACCTTTGCTTTGCATCTCATAATCACAGCAAACTAAAGATACTGGACATGGTTCAGGTATCAATTTGAAGAAACACTTCTTTCTTAAATGTTTGAGGATCACTTTAATATTTTTTTCTAAGAGCAGGGAGAAAGCAGACCACCACAAATGTGGGTGCCTCTCCATAAAATGAATCTTCTTTATTGTCAATATTGAAATGTACTGCTAAAGTCAATGCTGAAGAGCCAAAGAAAAACTGCTCTGGAAGTCGTGATAGAAAGAGGAAGCATAGTATACCTGTGGAGTTGAAAGCACATGACAGGAATGCTTGATACCTGTAAAATAAACCAGCTGCTAAATGGTGTAATAACAAGCAAGGTGATTTGTACTATTAAACAGCTGTAGAAGGTCAGAGACTAAGTGGAACCAGTTCTTTGAAATACATTTCACTAAAAATGAGAAAAGGAGGAGGGATCATTAATATTCTCCTTCCAATGCATGGACAACCAGTCTACTCAGGTGGCTTTTGAAAAGACACAGTGCTATTCGAGGGAGGCAGTTTCATTGTTGTTAGCCTGAACTAGCTGATTTTCATTACTTCTTAAAGGCTCATGTTTCAATTTAGCTAAATATTAAAAATGGCTAAATAATGGAGAGTGTTCAGGTTGCACAAGAGAGCTCATGTTCAAGACCACCTGCCTATGGCAGCCGGGGCTATTTTGTAAATATTTTCTTCATTTCAAGTGCCTAAATCCAGAGGCCACCTGTTTCCTGTCTTTCCTTCTTCAGTCTCTTAAGTTTTATTGTAAACACAGGTGAGCAAAATAAAGTATGTTGTTTGGCAATTGGCATTAGGGAGCTTGAGGAGTTTCAATAATAGCTGAAGCACAAGCCAGCTACTTCTGAAGCTTTCCAACATTCTCAGTGAACTTCATGAGGGAGAAATAAAATCTTTTCCCCTTGAGGATTCTGATTTTGAACTAAGGCCGCTCTACTCTCAATACTTTCTTTAATAAGCACTAACACCGGGTGCTTCAGTGAGCGTGCAAGAAAACTCATTGTGAGGCATTATGGAAGGGGAAATTTGGGCAAAAGTCACCTACTGATGTTTGGGCTGAAAGAGGCATAATGAGGTGTATCCTGGCACTGCCACTGCTATTTAGAAACTCTCTAAACAACTGTGTCTAACAGCAACTTTGCTTATTCAGTGGCTGGTAAAATATTCAAGGACTGGCTTGTTCCCTCCATAGGAGTCTGAAACCATCATGTTAGTAACTATTTTAATATTTTTATATCTGTGACCTTTTTAAAGCATTTGTAGCAGGAGGACTCTTGTCCAATTAGAGTGGTCTGTATTGGGGCACATTTGGTAGCATATCACTAAAACCAGATATTTGGGCAGATCCTCGGCTGGTATGAGTGACACCACTTAATATCAGCGGTGGAGCTGGTCCAGTATGTTTGGGGAATGAGCTTGTCATTTGCTTAAGCCTAAATGAAAGTTACCCCTTCTGGTAGCCCAATGAGGTCAAGCTTGGATAAGGCCACTTGAATACTATTTCTAATCCCAATGACTGAAGGTACAAGTTACAACAATAGGAAGTCAGTCATTACAATGAGGGTTCAGGCATTATATTCAGAAGACTGACCTGCTGACAACCATGCAGGTAGATTTCTATTCCGTCAACTTCTTGGTAGAGGCTTGTGACTATCTAAGGCGGGGGTGGGGAAACCTCAGGCCTGGGAGCCAGATGCGGCTCCTGAGACTCAGGGCCCCACCCAGCATTGGGGAGCCTGTGCTGGTGCTCCAGCCCCCCTGCTATTCCCTTGGAGGGCTGGAGCACACAAAATCTACAAGGCTGCCTTCCCCTACCCCTCCAGGCTCTGGTGTGGGAGGGGAATGTGGGGAGTGTTTATCTCCTTCTCAATCAGGGATCATGTCATTAAAGGATTTTTTGCTTTTGTTTTTTTGCTTGTGCATGGCCCGATTGACTTTTCTGTAGATCAGCGGCTCATGACTCAAAAAAGATTCTCCACCCCTGATCTAAGGCAATATTTCCCAAATGGTTGATTGTGGCCCACAGGTATATTCTGGATGGTTTTTAGGGCAGGTGGAGAGGGAGAGCTGGAGAAAGAACAGGAACTACCACTGTGAGATGGGATCAGTGTGGCTGGGTCTTGTTCCAGGTACTGTTGACCTTGCATCCAACATCCCATAACCACTCAGCACTGTGACCTCATGTGCCAGGTTACAACACAAGGAGCAAGAAGCCAAGCCCAGCCCTGAAGGAGAGGAGCTGCTGGTGTGGAGTCAGGCTTGGGGTGGAGGGCGCTGTTGCATGTGACCAGTTCTGGAGGAGAAAGATACTGGCTTCTGTCCCCCCCCCCCAGCCTCTGGATGGACTGTTTAAAAAAAAAAGGCAAGTGCAGTTGGTGGGTACCTTACTAAAAAGGGTGAAACCACTGATCTAAGGCCTATGTGAACTAGTTTATCTACCAAATGAGACTAGTGTGGTGTAATTCATTTGTTTTCCATTCAGTCACTACTGTGTGACATCATAGGCTGCAGATGCAGGACTCGACAACACACATTTTAGACAAAGGTCTTCTAACTCTGTTCACTGCATGAGTGTCATGAAAGTTAAAGCCTTTTAGAGAGGTACAGCATATTTATTAAGACCAACAGAAGTATACAAATATTTGTGGAAAAAAAAGCCAAAAATCAGACCTGGTTTATTATTCTCTAGCATATTGCGGGAAAGCAAAAAGGTGGCTTTCTCTTTATGGAAAAGCAGTGGCATCTCAATGGGATTCAGTTAGGACTAAAGACACAACATGTTCTTCTCTTCCTTTCCCTCCCCTGTGGAATGCTTCATTTGGTGAATTCTACTGCTAATGTAAGTAAGGCACTTTCCATGACCAGGCACAGTTATACTACACATTGCGAACTGACCTACAGTACCTGTGCGCAGAAAGCACGTCCCAATGAGACTGTGTTATAAACAGACTTCTGCTAAGGTCTAAACTGAAACCTCCATAATCAGCCTCTTCTGTGAGGTGAATCATGTCTGAATCCAATTCTGAAGAGAGCTGCAAGGCTAGTAACTCAGAAACCCATTTTGTCTTCCATGCAGAGTCCATTTTTATAAACATTACCACGCTCACTCTTACATCTTCCACTCTCATAACTATTTTTTAAAAGTTACCAATTCATACTATGAAAGCTCACGCATAGGCACTTATCTCTCAACACCTGAAATCTGCACTTCTAAACTTAAGAGAAAAGCAACACAGATCTTTATAGTTCCTATCAGTAGTTTTATGTGGTATCCTTATGACATTTATAAACAATACTTCAGATCATGTCCTTCTTTTGGTTGCTCCTTATGAAGCACTGGAAACAATGTGTCATAAATTAAAGATTACAAAAAATGCTTTTAAAAAAATAACTTAATTGTTATAGGTATGTAGGTGAAAATCTTGCACTGAATATTAAATACTACCCCTTAGAGCTTTTTGGTCATCAAGGCATACAGTTAGAAAAACTAAATATAACTTTATTCCAAAGTGCTACTGGTATTAGAAATTGTGTGATCAGAGGTAAACAATATTTTCTTCAACTCTTGCTCCATTTTCTGCATCTTGTGAGCTCCTCTACAAGCGGCTGGACCTGAATGCATCCAGGATTCAGACTGTGCGTTCTTGGGCACTGGATCTGGGACAGAGTTAAGTCTGTAACACATATAGAAGACACAATAGCATAAACAAACTCACAACTGACAACAAAATTCTTACCATTTGTTAAACCACCACAATGTACATACAGTATTTGTGTATAAGGAAAAACCTAACCTCTACAAGCGGCTGGACCTGAATGCATCCAGGATTCAGACTGTGCGTTCTTGGGCACTGGATCTGGGACAGAGTTAAGTCTGTAACACATATAGAAGACACAATAGCATAAACAAACTCACAACTGACAACAAAATTCTTACCATTTGTTAAACCACCACAATGTACATACAGTATTTGTGTATAAGGAAAAACCTAATTATGATAGGAATCCACCCCTACAGTGAAGCAAAATGCAGGCTTTTGTCATAGCAGAGTGAAATCAATGGATATCTTTCCATTGCTTTCAAGGGCTTGGGCTGATGCTTATGTTTTTGGTAAAATGATTAAAAATGACAACTATATCCATAAAAGAAGTTTGTATCTATTCTGTAGTTGTTCTGCATGCACTTACACAATGGTATCAATTAGGGATATGATGGTGTAGACGTTTAAACAGTTAACAGATGAGCCTGGGCACATCAGTTTACCTTAACGGTCACATGCATGCACACCTCCATACCCTTCTGTGTCAGCATGGGGGGAGGGGAGGAGCAGGCAGGAGCCAGTGCCCGAATGCAGCACAGGGGAGGGAGCAGGCAGTTCCCCACCCTGCATGTAAATTTGTAACTGCTGAAAATTTCAGCAGTTACATGTTTACCCAATAAATGCATTTTTAACATCCCTAGTATAAGTACCATAAGAGATGCGTTTGAAAGGCAGCATATAGTACATGTTCCGTTTGTCCTTGTTAAAAAATATGTCCGCACATAAGGGGTGTATTTTCAGCTAGTCTGACATTTTATTTGTGGGTACATTTTTGTGTAAATTACATAACAGCCAAACTGGTACCAACCACAACTGGAAGCCAGTATACTGGGTGAGATGGACCATTGGTCTGACCCAATGCCAGATTCTTCAAAGTGAATGAACAGAAAAGGGCAGTTATCAAATGAGCCATCTCCCAGGTGCTGGTACTCAAAGTTAGACACACCCAGAGCACAGGGTTCTGTCCTTCATCATCTTGGCTAATAGCCCTTGATGGACCTATCTTCCCTGAATGTACCTAAATCTTGTTTGAAACCAGTTATATTTTTGGCCTTTGCAACAACCCCAAGCAGCAAGTTTGAGAGAGTGACTGTGCGTTGTGTGAAGTACAGGAAGTCCCCGACTTACGCGGATCCAACTTATGTCGGATCCGCACTTACAAACGGGGCTTTTCTAGCCCCGGAGCTCACGGGCAGCGGGTCACCACCCGTGTCCTCCGGGGCGAGAAAAGCTTCTCCCGGTCTCCCTGGTCTACTGGGGGGGTCCAGCAAAGCCGCTGGACCCCCCCAGCAGACCAGGGACACCCGAGCAAAGCCGCCGCCTGGGCGGCTTTGCTCGTTTGCCCGGGAG